GAAACCATGATGATCCATTTGACGAATGTATCACCTGTGATCATTTAGAAGGCAGATCATGGACCTCATGAACTAAGGCAAGAGGTTGTAAAACAGAATATTAACAGCATTTATTGGTTGCCATTGGCTGCATTTAAGGACCTCTAGTAGTGTTGTGGTTAAGGCATTTCACTGCTAACCAGAAGGTTGATGGTTCAAATCCACCAGCTACTCTGTGGAACAAATATGGAGCAGTCTGCTTCCATCAAAATTTACAGCCTTGGAAACCCAATGAGGGTTGCTATGAGTCAGAATCAACTCAATGGTAGTGAGTTTGGTTTTGGGTTTGGTTGGCTGCATTTGGAAAGTTACTGCAAAAAAAGAAATGAGCTCAGAAAATATTTGGCCTATTTGTGAGCAGAGAGTAAAGTCAATCTACAAATTAAGGGACTTATAGGGATGGAAGAGGCCACTACTTCTTAATCTCAAATAGTAAAACATAAAATCAAGAAGTGTCTCCAGCAAGAGAGCACTAATTAAAATCAGCCTTGTAGTAAGGGTCAAGTCAAGGGTATGACCTTCAAACCTATTGTTAAAATGTCTGGATAAATTAAGATGTTACCCAGCATATGCTTTCAATTGGACTAAATGGCTCTGGAAAAGGGAGGAAAGGTGTGACTCTCCCACCAAAGTCCAATAAGCCCACAACCCTCAAAGTCAAGTCAGAAGGGGGGCACAAGAGCAAGAAAGCAAAGAAATGGTAAACCATAGAAATACATCCGCAAAAGAATTGTGAGTATGGCTACTGGCACATGGAACATCTAGAATCAGGTAAGAAGCCCACAGTGTTTTTATGGCAGTTATACTGACAAAGGAACATCAGTCTGGATTAAGAGACTTTGAGACTTAAGATCACCCTGTATCTCCCCAATTTTTTAAAGCTTATTTAAAAAATATGCTTATTTAATTAAAAGCATATTTTCCAATGCCTGCTTTAGATGCAGAAAAAGAAGATTCTCAGGGAAAAGTCATGGAAAACAGTGGATAGGGCAGCTACATTCAGGGAGTAGAATCAGGGTCTAATTAGGGTATTGGATAGGAGGAGTCATCAAAATGTCCACTCAGTGGATTGGTAATAACTTCAGTCTCCTGTTCCTTCTCTTTCCTAATGGGAGTATGCATTGCAGTCATCCTGCCTCTGTCCCACCATTACAATCTGAGGGTGTGCAGGGTACCTATCTTGCCTTTGAATGAAGAGGAGTCACTTCTGGTCCTGATTGAGAGTCTACAACACATCACCCAGAGATCATGGACAGTGAGTTTGATGCTGTGACTGGATGGGTATTTGGAGTTTGTCTCCCTTGAGAAAACAGTAAGGGAATTTTGCCTGTGGGAGGAGAGTGAGCCAAACATTTGGTGAACAGAAAAGGAGACTGTTAGAGTCATTAGTGCTGTTCCCCAAATATTCCTGGCTCTCTCCTTTCAAAACACTTGGCAGGGTTACACAGATTTGAAGCTAGGCATGGCCATGTAGCTTGCTTTGGCCAATGATATGTGAGCAGCAGTGATATGTGCCACTTCAAGGTGGATGTGCTGAGAGCCAGTGTATGAATTGCCATGTTCTCTCTCCTCCAAATAAGCTCACTATAACAAGCATCTATCAAGATGAAGCCTCCTACAGTCTGAGTCTTGGAGTGACTACAGTGAGGACTCCCCAGCAGACCTACAATGGACAAGTAGCATAAGCAAAAAATAAACTTTCATTGTAATCCCATGAAAGCCATTGAGATGTCAGGGTTGCTCATTATGGCAACACAAACCCAGCCTTTCTTGGATAATACTGAGAGTGAGAGATGAGGCTAGAGCAAGCAGGAGCTAGTATGTGGAAGGTTCCTTCTCCTAGGCAAAGGAACCTGAACTCTCTTCTATAGTAAAACCCACAAAGCCAAAACCACGGCCAGCTGTCAAGTCAATTCCAGCTCACAAAACAGAGTAGAACTGCTTCACAGGATTTCCAAGGCCATGAATCTTTATGGAAACAGACTGCCACATTTTTCTCCTGCGAAGCAGCTGGTAGGTTTGAAACATTAACCTTTCAGTTAGCAGCCAAGTGCTTAACCACTGCACCAGCAGGGCTCCTTCCCCTATTGTAAGGGGAAGCCAAAGAAGGCTTCCAAGCAGGGGCGTTAGCATGAACAGATTTGTTATTTTGGGGATGAAATATTCTCTCTCAACATAAGGAGAAAATCAACCTACCATATCACATAAGGCAGAGAGGAACACACAGAACCCTTAGGCAAAACATATATATTTAACCAAAGTCCTAAGTTTTGAAGTTTCTAAATACGGGAGCTCTGAAAAGAGTTACAATCAGAGGATCAGGCAAGACAATTTCCCCTTTCTCACAAGCTCCATTTTCTCTGCAGACAACTAACACTTCATAAGAAAGTTTATCAGGGCCAAGGAGATAAAATAAGGGAATGTAATACAATGTGAGGTCAATTTTCAATGTAACCTGAGCAAGAGAGTTGAACTCTGTGGGCCTACTTCCTTGTATATTAAATAGGGATACGAATATATGGTTCTCAAGATGGCTCAAGATGGCAGAAAACAGCAAAATTAAATTGCTTAGGAGTGTTACATTGTGGGGAATTTCAGTCAATGTCATGAAACAACATGTGTATGGACTGCTATATGGAAAATTAATTTGCTCTGTAAACTTTCACCCAAATCACAGTAACAATTAAAAAAATTTAAAAAATTGCTTAGGAGAATGTCTGGCAAATAGTAGGTGTTCAATGTTGTTGTTGTTGTTATGTGCCATCGAGTCTGCCCCAACTCATAGCGACCCCTCCTTAGGTTTCCAAGGCAGTATCACTCCAGTCGATTGCCCAACCTTCCTTCCGAGGAGTGGCTGGTGGGTTTGAACCACCAGCCTTCTGGTTAGCAGTCAAGTGCCTTAGGCACTATGCTGTTCAACACATGAAAATTGTTTTTATTACTATAATAATAATAAATTATTAAGAATACCCAGTCCTTGATGACATTAGAAAATAATTCAGGGCAGCAGTATAGAGAAAAGTGTTCCCTTCTCTAGGGAAGGAACTGGATCTTGCCATGATTCTATCTCTACCCCTCCTGTCCACTCACATTTTGTCTCAGTTTAGCACCTGGTTCACAGTAGTCACTCAGTTAATTCTCTGCTATATCAATAAATGAGAGGTGAGGGCCTCAAGTGAAAAAAAGTTGGCAGATTTCCCACTGACACCAGCTTCTGTTTTGCTGTTGATTCTGAACTCTCAAAGCCACAAATACTTGAAGGCTGGGGCTATGAACCCAAGACTGAATTTCCCCAAGTTCAGAGGCAGAAAAGCCAGCATAAGTAACTAGGAGTTTAAGCTGCTGCAAGCCCAACTTCAAACCACAGTCCCAGACAGAAGGCTTGGGAAATAGTTGACTTCTAACCCTATCCTTTCTCACTCCTCTCCTCCCCTCACTGCTCCTCACTGGAAAGCAGACCTGGTCCTGCCAAATTACTCTCTTATATCCTGGCATTCCACCTTCCTCCTAAGAGGCTTTGGAAAACTCGGAGGAAGGGCCGGGAAGGGGACTGTTTGACGACCACCTCCTGAGCCATGAGGCATGATGCTACACTAATCCCTGGCAGTCCGGGGAGGGAAAGCTGACCAGCCAACATGCAGATGAAAGAACTGAAGCACAGAGTTCAGTGATTGCTCACTTCACACTGTGGCAATGCAAGGCCACGAGAGAATCCACGATTCCCGACTTCGATATTCTTTCCACCACACATTTTGTTCCTACAGCGGAGAGAAGGGAGGGGGCGGGGCGGATAAAATAACATCCACATAAAGGAACCACTTACATAAGTGTCTAGCGCCTCCTAGAGGCTACACAAGTTATGAGCCCACCACTCGGCAAGGAGCCGAGATTTTTAAATCCTGCTTATACTCTTGAATCGATGCGTGACTTTGGGCTAGACTCTGCGGCTCTCGGAATTCGTTTTCCCCAAATCAAATCAGGGAGTGAGGTGTGTGTGTATTGGGGGAGGAGGGTGGCGGGTGGTAGATCACCGAGGTTCCCAAGATTTCTGATTTCCTAAACGTTTATTCCCAACTGGACGGTGAGTTGCCGCCTAATTCCTTCGCCATAAAAACCTTACCTAAGAGGCAAACTGTAAAACTCCCGCAACTCTATCCCCCATGGTCCCGAGAGGGTGACGTGAGGCGCAGCAGGGACTTAGCAGAGCTCAGTTTCAAGCAATGCAAATTAGGCGGCTCCTGGCGCAGAGAGAGGAGCGGATAGTCGCTCTTGAACTTGACCAAGAGACAAACTTCAAAGGATTCTCAACGTGGGGGGGGGTCAACCTCCCTATGACCGCTGCTAAACTTAAGGCCACTTTCGCTCACCTCCACACGGGACTTAACAGAGCCACCTTAAGGGCGGTACTCCCGCCCCCCGGAAGTGCGGGGGGGGGCACCAACGCGGGCTCTTAGTCTCTCAACCCCGCGCGGCAGTAAAATGCTCATGGATGACTTCGCGTCTTCCAAGTGGGGAAATACCGCACACCACCCCATCCCTCGGCCCCAGACAACTGACCAGATGCCCCAGCCTTCTGGGTCCCCGTATCCCCAGCAACTCGGTCCCTCGCCCTGAACTTGAGCCTGCCTCCAAAAGAAGTTGCGAGAGCCCGCCCGCCCAAGGCAGCCACCGTCATTAGACAGTCAAACCCCAAGACGTCAGCCCACAATGCACCGGGCGGGGCGGGAAAGACTGGCCGGGGAGGGGAGGTGAAGAGAGATGGGCGAGAGTCGCACGGGAGGGGGAAGGGGAGAGGTGGAGAAAGAAGGGCCCAACTGTAGGAGGGCAACGGAGCATTACCTCATCCCGTGAGCCTCCGCGGGCCCGGAGAAGAATCTTCCAGGGTGGGGTCTCCATGGCGACGGGCGGGCCCGCCCCCCTGAGAGCGACGCGAGCCAATGGGAAGGTCTCTGGGTGACATCATGGGCTATTTTTAGGGGTTGACTGGTAGCAGATAAGTGTTGAGCTCCGGACTGGATAAGGGCTCAGAGTTGCACTGAGTGTAGCTGAAGCTGCGAGGCGGGAGCGGAGGCGCGCGGACTCAGACCGACAGACACCGTCAATCTGTCAGGAAGGCCTTAGAGTCCGAACTGCAAATCTTATTTTCTTTTCCATTTTTTCACCAACTGCCCAGAGCTAGAGCTTGTGGCTTCCGGGCTGGTGTTTTGGGGATCGCCCGGAGAGCCCCTTCTCCAGCTGCTCCAAGGAGGAGAGCCTCGCTGCCCGGGTTCTGACAGCCGCGGAAAGCGGTGATTGCCCGCACGCCGGGGGAAGTCCGGCAAGCGGCTGCAGCAGCAAAGAACTTTCTCAGCGAGTGGAGAGGGGACGACAAGTGGCCCCCGGGTCCCGAAGCGAACTTTTGCAAACCTTTCCTCTTCCTTAAGCTACTGCGGCGGCGATAAAGAAGAAGGCGGCGGGAGAGGAGGGACGCGCGTCCAGCTTCGCTCGCACCGGTTGCTGAACTTGGGCGAGCGCGAGACGCGGCTGCCAGACGCCCCCTCCCCTAGCAGCAAAAGAGGGGACAGTCTTCGGAGTCGGGGCGGCCGAGACCCGCCGCCGGCTCGCCACTGCCGGGTCTGCACTAAGTGGCACCGCTGGAAGAGCTGCTGTCCCCCGGAGGCAAGTTCGTCTGAGAAACCGCTGCTCCTGCAGAGCGCTCAGTTTGACTGACCGCGACTTTTCAAAGCAGAGCAGCTCGAGCGAACAGACCCGGAACGGTGCAGGCGTCATCTTAACCCTGCGTTCCTGGGAGCGAGCTGGTGAGGAGGGCGCCGGGGGGAGGACAGCCAGCGGGTGCGCGCGCTCTTAGAGAAACTTTCCTTGCCAAAGCCCGGGGGAGGCGCGGGTGCCCTCCGCTTGTCCGCGCCCTGTTGCGGCCCCGAAACTTCTGTGAGCAGCCCAAACTAACCCCACGTGAAGTGACAGACTGTTCTATGACTGCAAAGATGGAAACGACTTTCTATGACGATGCCCTCAACGCCTCCTTCCTTCAGTCCGAGAGTGGCGCCTACGGCTACAGTAACCCCAAGATCCTGAAACAGAGCATGACCCTGAACCTGGCCGACCCGGTGGGCAGCCTGAAGCCGCATCTCCGCGCCAAGAACTCGGACCTCCTTACCTCGCCTGATGTGGGGCTGCTCAAGCTGGCGTCGCCGGAGCTGGAGCGCTTGATAATCCAGTCCAGCAACGGGCACATCACCACCACGCCGACCCCCACCCAGTTTTTGTGCCCCAAGAACGTGACGGACGAGCAGGAGGGTTTCGCAGAGGGCTTCGTGCGCGCCCTGGCCGAACTGCACAGCCAGAACACGCTGCCCAGCGTCACATCTGCGGCGCAGCCGGTCAGTGGAGCGGGGATGGTGGCCCCGGCTGTGGCTTCTGTGGCGGGCGGCACCGGAGGCTTCAACGCCAGCCTGCACAGCGAGCCGCCGGTCTACGCCAACCTTAGCAACTTCAACCCCGGGGCGTTGAGCAGCGGCGGCGGGGCGCCCTCCTACGGCGCCGGCGGCCTGGCCTTTCCCGCGCAACCCCAGCAGCAGCCGCAGCCGCCACACCACCTGCCCCAGCAGATCCCGGTGCAGCACCCGCGACTGCAGGCCCTGAAGGAGGAGCCGCAGACGGTCCCTGAGATGCCCGGGGAGACGCCGCCCCTATCCCCCATCGACATGGAGTCACAGGAACGGATCAAGGCGGAGAGGAAGCGAATGAGGAACCGCATAGCTGCCTCCAAGTGCCGAAAAAGGAAGCTGGAGAGGATCGCCCGGCTGGAGGAAAAAGTGAAAACCTTGAAAGCGCAGAACTCGGAGCTGGCGTCCACGGCCAACATGCTCAGGGAACAGGTGGCACAGCTTAAACAGAAAGTCATGAACCACGTTAATAGTGGATGCCAACTCATGCTAACGCAGCAGTTGCAAACGTTTTGAGGAGAGACTGTCGGGGGTTGAGGGGAAACGGAGACAAACAACACAGAGAGACAGACTTGAGAACTTGACAAGTTGCGAGGGAGAGAAAAAAGAAGTGTCCGAGGACTAAAGCCAAGGGTATCCAAGTTGGACTGGGTTGCGTCCTGACGGCGCCCCCAGTGTGCACGAGTGGGAAGGACTTGGCGCTCCCTCCTTTGGCATGGAGCCAGGGAGCGGCAGCCTAAGGGCTGCCGGGGTTTGCGGACGGGCTGTCCCGGCGCGAACGGGACGTTAGACTTTTCTTTAACATTGACCAAGAACTGCATGGACCTAACATTCGATCTCATTCAGTATTAAAAGGGGTGGGGGGAGGGGGTTACAAACTGCAATAGAGACTGTAGATTGCTTCTGTAGTACTCCTTAAGAACACAGAGGGGGGGAGGGGAGGCGGGAGGGAGGTTTGTGAGAGGGAAGCTGAGCCTACAGATGAACTCTTTATAGCCTGCCTTCGTTAACTGTGTATGTACATATATATTTTTTTTAATTTGATGAAAGCTGATTACTGTCAATAAATAGCTTCATGCCTTTGTAAGTTATTTCATGTTTGTTTGTTTGGGTTTCCTGCCCAGTGTTTGTAAATAAGAGATTTGGAGCACTCTGAGTTTACCATTTGTAATAAAGTATATAATTTTTTTATGTTTTGTTTCTGAAAATTCCAGAAAGGATATTTAAGAAAATACAATAAAATATTGAAAAAGTACTCCCCCAACCTCTTTTCTGCATTATCTATTAACTATGTAGGTGGAATTGAAAGAGTGTCAGTTAAAATCACTTTCAGTGCTGCTTACTACTAATCCCTAAAAACTATTCTCTAGTGGACTTTAGAAAGTAATGTAGCTGACGCTATCTTCAAGGTATCTTCAAGGTATACTCTTCCCTGCCCCAACTATCTATATAGAGTTGCTTACCAAATGATAGTGTGGTGTTTCAAGGGGCTAGAGAGACAGGAGTTACGGGGAGTGGGACAGCCCACTGGGAGGTCAAACACATTTAAGTTTGAAATTATATCAAGTGGCATGTGCTGTGATCATTTATAATGTTAGTAGAAGTTTAACAATAGATGCTTATTCTCAAAGTAGGAACTGGTAGCAGATTTCACAAAACATGTAACCATCCAATTTGGAATCTCTCTTTAACAATTCCTAGATAAAAAAGATGATCTTTGCTTATGAATATTTATAACAGCATTCTTGTCACAATAAACCTATTCAAATACCAATAACAGATCTTGAATTCCTTTCCCTTTACTACTTTTTCTTCCCAAGCTTTACCAGGCAGTCCCTGGATTAGGAACTAAATCAATTCCTGACTGTCTTTAAGAATTTGTAGGTGAGTCAGAACAGGTGTATATGCTCCTTATTTAGGCTTACTTTAGTGCAAGAAAGGAGTTCTCATGGTGCAGTGCCTAAGGCATTTGAGTGCTTACCAGAAGGTTAGCAGTTCAAACCCACCAGCCTCTCTGCAGAAGGAAAACTGAGCAATCTACTTCCATAAAGATTTACTGCCTTGGAAACCCAGTGGGGGTTGCTATGAGTCGGAATCAACTTGATGGCACTGAATTTGTTTTTCTTTTTTTTGGTGTGTGTGTGGGGGGGGCTTTAGTGCAAGAAAAGGCTTGGAGCCTTTTCAATGATTTGAAAGCTATACATGTAGCAAGTGAAGGTGATAGTGATGAAGAATATGTTGTGAATAGTAGTTCAGTTGTTTCAAAGTGAAGGCAAATTTATGTAACATCAGGCAACTAAAAGTCCTAAATCATCCCAGGGACTACCTGAATGACTGAAGTTTTTCTTTTTAGTTGCTGGGGTTAACATTACTGTAATCTGAAGCTACTCTGTATTTAAGAAGCAAAGAATTTAGGAAGTCAAACCAGAAGTTGTAATCACAGTTTACCTGGGTGAAACATTCTTCCAATTTCACTAGTTCTTCAAGTCATAATACTACAGAAGGAAATCTAATGAATCTCAACCTTTCTCTCCCCATCCCTGAAATAAACACCTATGCCTAGAGAAAATACTAGCATAGCAGTTTACCATTTTGGATCAATTATTATGGAATCAGACTCAAAAGATTGTAATCTAGATACGTTGGAAAATATTAACAAGAGAAAACATGAACATCAACACAATGATCACATGTGCAAATCAAATTTCAGCTCTGGGGAAATGGGAAACTTAAATTCTGTCTACAGATATAACTTAGGAGATCAACAAGGTAGTACTCAACAAGGGAACAATTTTTGCTTGGTTGACTTACATCCCAAGAGCCAGTGTGATTATCAAGCAGCAAAAGCAATTTGATATCCAGGAATATTTCACAAACCACTAATTGAGGCTGGGCTGTTTGCTCATTAGCAGTGCTCAAGTACCCAACAGGTCTGGGAACACTAATATTTCTGCCTGTGGCTGCAAATCCTAATAGACAAAGAGTTTTTCCTTATGAGTATATCTAGTAGCCGAGGAGATTGGACAGTGTTGTTAGCTAACCAAAGATACTCCATTGTTACAACACTTCTTTTACAAAGCGTTACTGGGAGCAGAGTCAGAGTTTGCCAGGCAGTGAATTTGTCGATGTCAGCAACCCGGAAGGTGAGTTGATTTTGACCATATGTAGGAATAGCTAGCAGAGGGACAATAAAGCACTTTGGGGTGGGGCTCTGAGTGAGCTAAACAAGAGCCAACTAGAAAAAAATAAGCAGGCTGGGGAATTAATTACCTGCAAAGGTAGACTAAGTCCAGACAACACTGCAGTACAGAAGAGCCGCACCACTCCCCAGTTTGCTTTAGACTCCAGTGTTCTAAAAAAAAGTTCTGAAACTCAGGCTTTCTCCATATTTGGTTGTTTCAACTAATATTCTAAATGCATATCCCTGAAATTTGAACTTTTTGAAATTTGAATTTCAAAAAATTGTGGTAAAGAAAATTAATCAATGACTCATACACTTTGGAGACAGAAAATCAGTGAATCAGTTACAGATATTCAAAGGTTAATTTTATTATGGGCATTGGGTGTGTTATTTTTTGAGTAACGCTAGTAATTGGCAAGGATGAAGCCAATGGCACATAAAACCATTAATCCTCTCTTAATTTCTCTTGCTGTAAAGATGTATAATAAATCATTTGATCAGAGATTCTAACACTCTGTGTCTGTTGGATCAGAGGATCCATGAACTCAGTGAAATTGTCTATAAAATTGTGTATGTGTGCATGCATATGTGCATAAGTGTGTGCACTTGCCTGGGATAAGAGATCTTTAGCTTTTATTTGGTTCTCACACAGTTCCATGACTAAAAAAAAGTTAATAAGGTTTGAATTGATGGGTATACACCCACTATCAGAAACATAACTATGTATAAATCTAAATCACATGCCCTTTTACTCCTCTATGCTTTTGCTTATGCCCATCTCTGTCTGAAATACCTTTCCTTCTGGTTCAACTGATGGGTTCTATCCACTCTTAAAGGCTTCTCATAGAGTCACCTTCTCTGGAAAGCCTTCCTTGCTAACTCCATCTTCAGTTAGAATGAATAACTCCACACTTAGCATCCATAACCTCTTGGGAAAACTTTTCTGATAGCATTCACCAAAGTGTATTATCATGGTGAACCTCTATGTTTCCTGGCCAGAACCATATCCTTCTCATCTGTGTATCATGAGATTCCTAGTATAGTGCTTGGAACATTGTTCATATAAATAAATATTTGACAACTAAATGAACAATTTAACTTACATCTTCCTCCAAAATAATTCCAGGTCTTAATTTCTTCTAGTGAGATATGCCTCATCCATTTCAAGGTACACAACTTCAGATGGATTAGAGACCCCCTCCCAGAAAAATAAAATTTGGCCAATCACCAATTGCTAAAGCCTACTTCTCAATGTCTGCCCTTGAAAGAATTAAGCTGTTCACATAATCATACTTCCAGGCACACACAGCATCCCTTCCCTCCTCCACTAATACATGTGGGCATCTTCCTATATAAAACTGGTCTACCTGAACCATTCAGCTTGGAAGCAGGAGATGGGAAAGGATAATAAATGTATTATTATGTAGCCACAAAAAGTAATACCAGATGTGGTTTTATTGAAAACGACAACTCAACTAGTAATGACATAGGTGTTTTCTCTTTGTGACATTAGATGCATTTCAGCGATCCATAAATTGGTATCCAAAGTTTTCTTGATAGAGACAGGGATCATGATAATCCACCTATATTCTGTTTTCTTTTTTATTGGTAGAGAAGCTGAGCATCAGATGGACCAAGGAAAAAGACACTGTCTTCTAGTCTGCCCTGTCCTCTGACTCCACTACCACCTCAACATGGGTCAAGTGGAACCCCATGTCTTAGAAAGCTGCAGTGTAGTAAATTACATAGTGTGGTTTTTCTAGCCATAAGTCTTTGTAAACTCCATTGTAGAATTTTCTGTGAGCAACTGAGTAGCTCCTGATTGTTAAAGTTATCCACCTGGGATATTTCTGTTGGGAGAAGCACAAAGTAATTCTCTGGGAAGTTCATTCTCTCTCTCAGGTGTATAGAATTCTGATGTTGGATTGGTTGGTTTGCCACTCTGCCAGGCTCAAAAGGATCCCTCCTAGAGACAGAAGAAATCTCTGACTGCCAGCTGGGAGATGCAAGAGACATGCACTGCTGGGAGAGAGACACTGAGAGACTTGCACTGCTGGGAGAGAGACTGAGAGAGACTGTGGGCTGAGAGATGGTGGGCTGAGAGAGACTGAGTGTGTTCCTGAACTTGAATTGTAGCCTGTTGCTTCCCTAATAAACCCCATAATCTGTGAGTTCTGTGTGGCCACTGCAGTTAATTATCAAACCCAGCAGAGAGGTGGTAGGTACGTGGGAGGAACAGTTGGTGCCAGGATTGGTGAAAGGGCTGGAGGGAGGGAACATATCTGGCCTTGCAGGAATAGGCCTTGGGCTGCTGATGGTGATTCTGTCTTCCATTTTGGGGCTGGAGGAGGTCAGAAGATGCGGCCTCCTTGCGCCTTTACCAAGGCAAAAGACACTGTCTTCTAGTTTGGCCTGTCCTCTGACCCCACCACCCACCACAACATGCATCAAGTGGAACCCCATGCCTCAGGAAGTAAAAATATATTTCCCTAATTCTGTAATCTAGCCCTAGTTATTTGATTTTAGACTAGGAAGGGGCTTCCCTTGGACATCCCAAAGAAGGGCTTGGGTCTTTTGAGCCCCTATGCGAGGTAGCATAGTGCCTAAGGCACTTGACTGCTAACCAGAAGGCTGGTGGTTCAAATCCACCAGCCAATCCTCAGAAGGAAGGGTGGGCAATCTACTTCCGTAATGATACCGCCTAGGAAACCCAAGGAGGGGTTGCTATGAGTCGAGGCCGACTTGAAGGCACATAACAACAACAACAACAACATGCGAGGCTATGTGGAATTTCTTGGTGATGCAATAAGTTAAAGAACTCAGCTGCTAACTAAAATATTGGAGGTTTAAGTCTACTCCAATATGGCTTAGAAGAAAGGCCTGGCAATCTACTGAAAAACCAGCCATTGAAAACCCTGTGGAGCCAAGTGGTACTCTGACATACATGAGGTCCCCATGAGTCAGAGTTAATGCAATACCAACTGGGCTTTGTTTGTTTGTTTTATGCTAGATTGTGGGGATTCATTGATGAGCAAGATACAATCCCTGTTCTCAAGGAACTCTTTTGGGCATGAGTGCAGAAGAAAAGCAGGAACTCTTCTAATGCTACAAATGTTGTTGTTGTTAAGTGCCGTGGAGTCATTTCCGACTCATAGTGACCCCACGCACAGCAGAACGAAACACTGCCCAATCCCGCGCCAGCCCCACAATCCCTGCTATACCTGAGCCCATCATCGCAGCCACCATGTCAATCCATCTCGTTGAAGGCCTCCCTTCTTTTGTCCACCCTCCACCCTACCAAGCATGACATCCTTCTCCAAGGAATGGTCCCTTCTTACAACATGACCAAAATAAGTGAGAGAAGTCTGGCCATTCTTGCTCCTCTGGCTGCACTTCCTCCAGGACAGATCTGTTAGTTCTTTTAGCAGTCCATGATACTTTCAGCATTCTTCACCAGCACCACAACTCAAAAGCATCAACTCTTCTT